GAGTCTGCCTGGACTGGGTTTGTGTTTCAGCTCAGGCGGCCATTAAAATTCAGGCTGAGTGCTGTCTTTAAATTGCTTTGATGCTAGGTGGGTTTCAACCCTGACCTGTCCTGACGGCAAGTGATGGCTGTTACAAGCTCCGGATCAATATTCATAGCGGGTGTCCCGCACTGATAACACTATTCAAGACAATGTTCCCGATCAGTGTGGACTGCTGAGATATTGTACCATTAGTGGTGTTGTTTTAAATAACCCGATCCATTTCTGGGTCTATATAATGAATTTTACAGTTTAGATATTATCTTTAAGAAGAAGTGACTCATAGCACTGAGCCAGATCAATGGTTCCAAGACTTCTTGGTGTTTGTTTATTTTTTTCAAGCGGACTATAATTCCACCAGTGTTTCTCATATATTCTTGAACTGTGGCATGCCAATGATTGCGCTAACAATAAAAAAAGCATCTGCATTTTATCAAGGACAGGGAGTTTGACCATAAGATAAAATCTCTCACATAGTTGTAAAACAGTAAGGATCCATTCACTTCTTTGCATTACTAACTAATGAGGTTTTAAGGTATTTGTATATCCAACCTGAAATTAAATAGACACTGCAACCTTGTGCATGGCTCCTTAAGAAAATCTTTCAGTGAACACCACGGGATTTGCTTCTGAATAAGCATGCATAAGATTGGGTTGCATGTGAAATCTGTGTGATGGACTGGGTGTGTATGTGCTTGTATTGCTTTGCAGCTAGGGGTAGGATTGAATGGCCTTTTGTTCCAGTACAACATAGTGATTAAAGTGTTGGCCTAAAAATCTGCGAGTCCCAAGTTCGAAACTCTACAGTGCCATGGAAACTCACTGGGAGACCCTGAACCCAGTCACTCTTTCTCAGCCTGACCTATCTCATGGGGTTGTTTTTGTGAGGTTAAAATAGAGGAGGGGAAAATGATGTTGTAAGGCACTTTGAGTCCCTGTTGGGGGGAAATGTGGGGTATAAATATCCAATTTAAAACATTTTCAGTTAAATGATTTTGCAATAGAAAACATCTGAAAGAAACTCAGATTTGGAGTTGGGAGTAAGCAGTGAAGTGGCTAAATTTGCAGACGACACAAAGTTGTTCAGGGTGGTGAGAACAAGGGAGGATTGTGAGGCACTCCAAAGGGATCTGTCGAGGATGGGCGAGTGAGCGTCAACATGGCAAATGGGGTTCAATGTGGCCAAGTGCAAACTGATGCACAGTGGAGCGAAAAATCCTAACTATAAATACACGTTGATGGAGTCCAAACTGGCAGAGACTGACCAAGAGAGAGATCTTGGAGTTGTAGTAGATAACTCACTGAAAATGTCGAGACAGTGTGCAACTACAATAAGAAAGGCCAATGCCATGCTGGGGATTATTAGGAAGGCAACTGAAAACAAATCAGCCAGTATCATAATGCCCCTGTATAAATCAATGGTGTGGCCTCATTTGGAATACTGTGTACAATTTTGGTCACCACACCTCAAAAAGGATATTATAGCACTGGAAAAAGTGTAGAAAAATGCAACTAGAATGATAAAAGGGTTGGAACACTTTCCCTATGAAGAAAGATTAAAGCGCTTGGGGCTCTTTAGTTTGGAGAAACGATGGCTAAGGGGTAACATGATCAAGGTTTATAAGATTATGCATGGGATAGAGCAGGCAGAGAAAGAAGTACTTTTCTACCTTTCTCAAGATACAAGAACTTGTGAGCACTCAATGAAATTGCTGAGCAGTCGGGTTAGAACAGATAAAAGGAAGTACTTCTTCACCTAAAGAGTGATTAACACATGGCATTCACTGCCACAGGTGGTGGTGGCGGCTACAAGCATGGACGGCTTCAAGAAAGAATTAAATAAACTTCTGGAGTAGAGGTCCATCAGTGGTTATTAGCCACAAGGTATAGATAGGAACTCTCAGTCTGGGGCAAGTGATGCTCTGTATTCTTGGTGTTTGGGGGGGGCAACAGTGGGAGGGCTTCTAGTGTCCTGGCCCCACTGCTGGACCTCCTGATGGCACCTGGTATTTTTGTCCACTGTAGAGTGTTGGACTGGATGGGCTTGATCCAACATTGGCTTCTCTTATGTTCCAGTTTTATTAGATGGCAGACCAAGCTGTTAATACTATATGGCCTGTGTAGCACACGGTATCAACTAAAACCTGGGCTTTTTTTCTTGGGGAACATGCAGGAACAGAGTTCCAGAACCTCTTGGACAAAATTCTTTTTAAAATGTTTAAAAATGCATGAGTTTTCAATAGACAGATTGAAAACTTCATTTCCCTCTTGAAAGTTCTGGTACCTCTTTAAAAAAAAACACCCAACCCTGACAAAAACTAATTTGGTAATGTTGGGTTTTGTTGTTGCTGTCGTCCTCAATGCACTATTTATGATGTACATAAGCAGTGAATATAGTGTAGTCTGTTTCCATCAAACAACTAAACTGAACTGCTTCAGCATGTCATTTGAAAGCCTATCCTATGTGAACACAGGTTAGTGTTAATTTAACTAAAGTTGTCAATAAACTTTGGAGTTCAGATTTTCATGATAGAGAGTTCAAGGCTGCCCAGACCATTGGAAAAGCTAAACTGATGGCTGAGAAACTTGCAAAGCATAATGCCACACAAAACCCACCACCATGGTGGCAGTAACACAACAGTTAGAGTCAGGAAGAGAGTGACACGATAGAATGGAATGTTCTTAAACATTTGACATGATGCTGAAGAAAAAGATTCCATGCCATCATGCTGGAGGAATAGTCTGGTTCTGTGTGTGAAGGCTGGCTGTTGTACTGTTTTTGCAAATAATGGTGTTTAATTGTTGCTTGCTTTTAAATTGCTGAATTTAATTGGATAGCATATTTTATGTTGTGAGCCACAAAGTGCAAGAGGAATTTGTTAATTAATTAATTAATTAATTAAAAAGTCACAGGATCGGGAGAGGCAGAATGCTGTGGCAAAAAGTGGCTGAGAGCCTTAGGGCTGATATGACGAGTTTAAAAAGGGCTCAGGAAGAGACAGGAATTAAGGGATTTTAGGAGACAGAGCACGCTTAGAAGGGACTTGGGAGTAACTCTGTTTAGGATGGAGCTGAAGATAGCTTTAGGGAAGAAGGGTAAAGCATACTGGATGCTGAGAAACTAGGATAAAGGGAAAAATAGATGTGGAAGAAGAGAGATTCAAGGGAAAGAAAGAAGAAAGTCAAGTCAGGGGAGGAAGAGAGAAGGTGACGCAGATCAAGCAAGTAGGAATCCAGGATTCTGCTTGAAAATAACCAGGCAAATGTTTGGTTTTAGATCTTAGTATATACTCTCTAAGGGAGGGAAGATGGCTTGGTATAGCCCAATTTCATCAGATCTTTGTATTAGATCTTAGTATATACTCTCTAAGGGAAGGAAGGTGGCATGGTATAGCCCAATTTCATCAGATCTTTGAAGCTAAACAGGGTCAGTTCTTGGATGGGAGACCATCAAAGAAGGGTCTGCAGAGGAAGGCAATGGCAAACCACCTCTGCTTCTCACTTGATTTGAGAGCCCATTGCTGGGGTTGCTGTAAACTGGTTGCAACTTGTTGGCACTTATGTATGTACACAGTAAAGTACACTAAGTACGGGTGTGAAAACTGGACAATGAAGAAAGCTGACAAGAAGAAAGTAGATTCCTTTGAAATGTGGTGTTGGAGGAGCATTTTAAGGATACCGTGGACCACCAAAAAGACTAATAAGATTAAATCAAGCCTGAACTGTCCCTAGAAGCTAAAATGCCTAAACTGAGGCTATTGTCACATTTATGAGAAGACAGGAGTCACTGCAAGAGACAATAATGCTAGGAATAGTTGAAGGCAGCAGTAAAAGAGGAAGATCCAACATGAGATGGATTGACTCCATCAAAGACTTAGGGTTGCCAGCCTCCAGGTTGGAACTGGGGATCCCCTGGAATTACAGCTCATCTCCAGACTACAGAAATCCGTTCCCCTGGAGAAAATGGACTCTCTTTAGGGTAGACTCTATGCATTATACCCCACCGAGGTCCCTGAACACTCAAGGCTCCATTCCCAGATCTTCAGGAGTTTCCCAACCTGGATCTAGCAGGGGCAACACTACCCCCTCACCCCCTGACAATGTTAAATTTTGGAGGGCATTAATTCATAGGGTCACCATGAGTCCAAAGGAACCTGATGGCACTTCATACACTCTGTAAATTTAAATTTCTACCACTTCACATGGTTAAGAGCAATGTTCCCTCTAAGCTGTGGAGTCTTGTGAGCAAAAATTCTACTTTATGAGCTACTGGCACTAAAGTTGTGAGCAAGTTATTTGGCTACTGCATAAATTAGTTTGCTCTGGAGCCATGTTTTCTGAGCGAAGACAAAAATGTGTGAGCCGGAGGCTAGAAAACTGAGCTAGCTCACACTAACTCAGCTTAGAGGGAACACTGGTTAAGAGTAAGTAAGAGGCATCCGGAGAATGAGGGGTTTCAGTGCACCAGAAACTTCGTACACATTGGGTAGTAGTATGTATGGGAGTTGGCACAGGAGGGCATGGAAACACAGAAGGCTGACCAAGTCAAAACACAAAGAAAAGCATGAGAAGGTTGCTAAGACACACATACCTGAATGTTACACAAGAAAATTACAGATGTTTTCTATTACAATCTTACATGCATAGGTAAAACACCAAAAGAAACAAACCTTCGTTTTGTACGTTTTCAACGTCCTATTAGCATTTTTCAAATGCAAGTGCCCAACGCCACTGAAACCAACACCCCCGAAGTCTAGCTTTGCTGTTTTCTTTATTTTGTAAAACGCAGTAATAGCAGCCTGCCCTAACCATCTGCAACCCTATTAATGTCCAGGAGGAAAAGCAGAGCAGCAATGAACTGCCAAGCCATTTTCTTAATATGAGCCTGAGACCTCAGACAACTACATTTCCCAGATGCCTATACCGGAAGAAAGGGTTAGAAATCCGGCCGTGGGGTATGCGCTCCTCTGGCGGGCGGTTGCTGAAATCTGCCGGCAGGGCAAGCTCCGTGATGGCTGGTTGGGCTCAGCACTTGGCAGGCATTAAGGGCTTGGTGTTAGACATCAGCGGGGTGCTTTTTGATAGTGGAGGCGAAGGAGGCGGAGTCCCCATTCCTGGATCTATAGAAGCTGTAAAAAAGTAAGTGGGACCCCATTTAGCCACGGCGTTCCAAGTTTCTTGTCTCACCTTCGAGCCCCTTCCCGCCACTCGTGGGACGTGTCCTATCGTTCCCGGTTCACAAGGCCAGGGGAGTCCCTAGTAGAGTTTTGAGGGGGGGGGGGGCAAGGGGGGGGCAGCTGATTTTCCGATCCCCTTTTCAGCAAGTTGGGTGGATTGATGGCCCTGGCTACCCTACCTTCCGAAAAAGGGTCCGGACGGAGCAAGTGAAGCCTCGATGCCCTTCGGTGGGGTTCTGCAGCAATGTTGCTAGCAGCGGCTGAGTTCTAAAAAGAGAAAGTGCTAGGGTTTCAGAAGACGGCCTGGGAGCCAAGCCGCCTCATCTCACTCTGGCTTTGTATTTACATAAACAACAACAACAACAACAAAAAGTGTTGAAACTATAAAACAGAACGAGCACTAAAGCACAGTGGAATTTTTGAGGAGCAGGAATTCTGGCACCCAAAACTCTTTTATAATAAGGGAGAGATATCTGGACCTTTATGTCTCACTTAACCCCCACCCCACCCCCGTGGGGACTCAGAACTGCTTAGAACATTGTTGTCCCCGCCTCCATTGCCTCACAACAACCACCACCGCCACCACCATGTGAGGTAGGCTGGGTGGGCTAAGAGATGGGGACAACTGGCCCAAGGTCACCCAGTGGGCTTCCATGGTAGAAGTGGGAATTCTATCCACTACACCACTCTGTCTACTACACCACACCACTGCATTCACGCATGAGTAACACTATCGTAGTAGTGTTCTGTATGTGCTCAGATGCATTTTTGATTCAAGAGTCACATGTTCTGTTGCCAGACTGGCCCTTATGACCTTTAATCACTATCCTATGCATGGTGAGGATGGGGAACAGAAGCCAGAGCTTGCATTCATTCTCTGCCCACCCAGTTCCCCTGTCCGATTCTGATGCCTCTGCTCCTGGCTGTAACATACATATAAAATCCAGTTAGTGTGTGCTCTATTAATGCAGTCAGTTACAAGATTTTATCTGGAAATCAGTTCACAAATTGGTCCCATACTCATTGCCTTGTATGTGTGTAGGCGCTCTCTTGGAATGTTAAAACAGTACATGGATAACTAGTGATCTTGGAGATGGGGCAGAAGTATCAGGTGAGCATGGAGGTAAGACATGCGCTTGCTATGACTCCTGTTTCTTGTCTCACACATGGGAGAGTCCACACCCATGTGTATGAAGTGTATGGGGCCATATTGTCCAATCTGGCTCTTAGTCCTGATGCTACAAAATAGATCGTTGTATATGGGAAGGTATGGTAGGTGAGCTGTGTTTAAGGAAGCCACCAAGCATTTTGTTGTGTTTTCTCCTGTAACTCAAGGATATATCCATATAGTTTATTTCCTACACTTTCAAAAGGTGATGCTCTCATGTTTAAATGGACATTTCATAAGCAATTAGAAACTGTACAGTTAACCCAGCATGGCATAGTGCTTAGCATGTGAGACTACAATCTGGGAGACCTAGGTTTGAATCCTTATTTGGTCATTGAAACTCACTGGGTGACCTTGGGCTAGTCCACTCTCTTTAATCCTAAACTACCTCACAGGGTGGTTGTTGTGAGGACAAAGTATAGGAGGAGAAAACAATGTTGTAAGCTGTGTTGGATCTCCTTTATTATCAAAATAATAATACTAAATCAAATATTTGAAAGAATGAAAATAAGACAAAGATTGGGGCAAACAAACAAGCTGAAATGCAGTGTAGTCTTGAAATGTTGTTTCAACTAAGGGAGAAATACAGCTTTTGTAAAAGCTGTATTAACTTTGACAGTATTATCCCAATTCTAAACACATCTGTCTGGAAGTAAGTGCAATTAATTTCTACATTCAGCTTCAAATATGTTTGGAAATGTAGCATAAATTATATTACAGAGGAAGATCCCTGCCAAATTTGGTTATTCTGTTATGAAAGGCTGCACATTTGAGGTAAAGTGCCTCAGGCAGATGATTTTAATGTGGCAATTATGTCAAAGTTTCTTAGAGTCAGAGTGTTCTTGTATCACAGTGGTATTGGACAGATCTGCTATGGAAGGAAAGTGTAGAATAGAATCAGGAAGCTGAAACGTAAGTGTTGTCCACCCCCTTCATGCACACATATACTACGAGACATATACCAGATCTGTGTAGATTAATCCATGTAATCTAACCACTATAAGTGCTTCAATCACATACATTGCAGAAAAATGCTTTGAGATTACTCAGGTAACAAGCCAATCCTCAGACTGCAGACTAAGGTTGAAAGAAATAAGCCTGCATTCAATACCATTCTTACATAAAGAAGAACTCTTTACCCCAAATATGGTGATCAGTTAGATCTTGAGTGCATTTGAACTTTGCTCAACTTATTCTGGTACTCACTGAAGAGGCCAGGACACAGAAACTCTACCTCCCTATGTTTTTTGGTGGGGAAATATTTTCAGTTCTGTCCTGAAGTTTCAGCAGACATTACTCATTCAACAACATTTATACAGCCATAATGACTAGAAACTTAAGCGTGTTTCTTTTCTTTTTTAAAGATGAAACCAGAGATTCTCTTGAGAATGTTTTATGCACCCATGGTTAAATTATTCACTTCTGTTCTGCAAAATCACTACATACAGCCTGATATATAGATTATAGAAGATGTTGTACAGCCATATTGGTCCACTCAAATTCCAAGACAAGATCTATGTAATACCTTTTATTAGGTGTAAACGAATTGTTGAAAAGGACTGTGCAACCTTTCAGCTTCACCAGAATTCTTCATCAGGCTGAATGGTACAAAATTAAAACAAACAAACAAACAACAAACAGATGGATGGAAAAGCAGCAGTCCAAAACCACACTTTGATAGGATGTATAGTTCAGCTAGAATACTTCAGTGTTCTGGTTGTTTAACTATAACAATGAGGTATAACTATGAGGTAGTTAAACAACCAGATATATGTAAACAGAATCAAGGTCTAGTACTGTTTGATTTGTGCAGGTCTTGTTGGAACATTATGCTGTATCATCTAGTCTAGTCTATTTTGTATTCTTTTGATAATACTGAAAACCTGTTTAGGCTGCCATGCATTTCAGCAATGGCTCCAATATTTGCACTGTTGGAAGAAAATAGTTAATGTAACATTTGTACTTGGATGCATTTCTCTTTGCTTTCTGTAATTAAAATGAGAAGTTATGAATCTTCCCTTTTGGAGCGGTTTGATAAAACTGGAAAAATATTGTACAGTGCTTAAATATTATAAATTGTTTAAAACATTTTAAGGGTTTCCTGGAGTGTTGCTTCTCTGTATTTGTGAGTTTTGGGTGTGGGGGTTGATGTCAGGCGATGAAATATTGCTGTATTGTTTGTCACTGTGCGCACAACAGTTTAAGTACCATAATCCGTGTAGACAATTTAAGCTGTAATTTAATTTAGTGTAATATCAGAAATATGTTAGTTGAAGTGACAGCCAAAGTAGAGCCTGGGGGTTCAATGCAAAATGTTGAGCTTGCTTTGAAATGCTGGGAACCTCTGAGTCGCTGCTGTTCATTAGGGATCAGTATGTTTCAACAGCTAATTTGGCTTCTCCGCTTACTTGACCCAAGGGAGGCAGGGGAAACATATTGAATCTTCAAAGTGTGTCTTGACGTGCTCACTAACAATGGTCCCCAGGATGTTCAGTCAGAACAGTCAAATGCATTTGGGCTAGGTCTGTTGTGGTAATAGAAGGGGTGAAATTTGTTCCAAAGCCCCTGAGCCTAAATAATGGTTGCATCTCCTGTAGATGAGAGTTGGCTTGCAGCTATAATGGTGCGTTCACTTGTTTCCTCATTTTGAGTACATTTGTGATTCTGTCACTTGCACCTAAAAGAGAGTTACAAGGGTATTCTTAATGTAAGTGTAGTAGTCGATAGGAAAAAAAGTAGACCTCTTTCTTGTCTGTTTGTGGGGCAAATGTACATTTCAGAGAACGTCTGCACGAAACTTTTGGGGGAGGCTTGCCAGCAAATACAGGGCACTTCTGAACGGCCAGGTATGGAGGGGTACTGGTTCTGTGTGACTCCCGTCACATCAGAGAAGGAGATCGGCCCAAGTTCAGCTCCCTCCTTGTTGTCTGTGTGACTGTTGAGGAATATCAGCTTGGAGGAATGTTGCCAGATTTGTATTTGATTTGTGTCTGATGGTTCACAAGTGGCAGAGGTGCGCATTTTCAGTACTCAGCGTCCTTTGTGTCGAACCCATTGTTTTTACTCTTAACCTACTCTGCACAGAATAGAAGCTATTTGTGGGTTCCCATGTGGCACTACGGGTATTCCGGTATTCTTGGCTTATCAGTGGTCCAGATAAATCATGCTTCTGTAGCCTTGCAGTGTAGTTCCAAGCAGAGTTTTAGCCTTCTAAGTCATTTGAAGCTAATGAAGGGTGAAACTCTGGCTGTGATCACACACACTAAATAATCCACTTTCAATGCACTCTCCACTTCCACACTGTCATTTTTGTCACTCGTTTGTCCCTATTTCTTTGGGTCGTTTCCCCCCCTCTTTCCACATGTGTTTTGCTCCCTCTGGGACTACTAGAGAAAGCAAAACACATTGGGGGGAACCCCCCTCCGAAGCAATAGGGACAAATGAGTGACAAAAATGACAGTGAGGTTTTGCCAGTTCACACTGTAAAATCCAGTTGGAAAGTGCAGTGAAAGTGGATTGAAAGTGGATTATTTAGTGTGTGTGATCACAGCCTCTGTTCAGGATAGCACTACCAACAGTCCATGTTTCTGAAAGCATTCATACTCTCAAGGTTTTTCTCCATGCCCTTCACAGTAGTATTAGATCCAGAGATTCATATAGAAAATATACTACTGGTAGAAATTTATAACCAGCATACTATTCAGCAGTAGCCTGTTCTTATGCATTAAAAAAATGTTAGTGGCGGCATTGGAACCATGCAGTCCCACATAAGCTTTTGGCTCTGCTTAAGGATG